TATTAACTGACACTGACAGCAGCAAGCAAAATATCAGGTGCGTTTTAATCATCCGCTTCTGCTTCCGGAATTGTCGGTTAAGTCGTTCTAACCTGTCAGATTAAAACAAGAAAACCGATCATTCCGAAGCAGAAGCGGACGATTAAAACGCACCCATTAAAAATATTGCGCCAAGATGTAGGCAACACGTAATAAGGGTTCAAAATGGCGGAGTTTTCTATCTCCTTTTAAAAGGCACTCAGAAAGCTGCGCAGTGCGACCATTCTCCGTATAGTAAAAGAAAATCAAAGTATGTGGTTAGCTCACTCGGACCAGTTGAAAGTTCCAAAATAACATCCACTACAGGGATACAAATTCAGGATACGCAAAAGTTATTAAAAAAGTAGATAATTCTCAATGGGGTACACCTTTGGTAGTAGCTTTAAAACCTAAAGGCAAATACATTCGATTATGTGCTAATTATAAAACCACAACAAATATTTAGCAGATGTAAATCACTCTTTGGGGTCGATTCTGTAAACATTTGGTTAAAATTAACCCTGGGTTATAAAAATAACGATGTTTATTTTTAATTTTTGTAATCTGTATTATTTGGTTAAAATTATTACTTATGTCAGTAATAAATCTAGTATTGATTACATGTCAAATATATTATCTTTCCTAATTTTAATGCTAAATAGAGATTTGGGATAAAATTGAAACGTCATAGTTATAAATAACCTTTCAACCTGGAGATTAAAATTAACAAAAACGTTACAGCATAGACCCCTTTACATGTTTTTTAAACTTTTTTTGCTACTTTAAAGGGAGGTAAAAAATGTCAAAGCTTGAATGGAACAATTCTTATGATCCGATAAGAATTGATAAAAACAGGCCTACTATTAGCATGGAGCACAGATTTGGGAATTTTTAAACTTATAAGATTGCCATTTGGGACAAAGCCTACATGTGCTATTTTTCAGTTAATTTTAGACAAAAATATTGGCTGGCATTCTTGGGATTGTGTTATTTATTGACGATATTGTAGTAAATGGGAGAACAGGGTGAACATTTAAATAATTTAAAAAAAGGTGCTAAATAAGTTAAAAAAAATAGGTTGCAATTAAATAGGAATAAATGTAAATTTTTCAAAAGTGGAATAAATGTGAATTTTTCAAAAGTGGAATGAATGTGGAAAAAAGAGACATTTGAATAAACTAAAAATTACGAAAAAGCGTTTAAAACGGCTAAAAGTGAATTAGTATCGGATAGAATTTGAGTACTCTTTGGTCCAGAAAAACCAGTTAGGGTAGCGCATATGATTTTTCTATTATGGGATAGGTGCTTGTTTGTCTCATGTAAAAGCAGATGGTAGTGAAAAACACATTTGCTATATATCAAGAGTGTTGAACAAGACAGCATAATTTTAGTATTACTGACAAATGGGGATTAAGTGTATCATTTCTTAGCTGGTAGACATTCTGAAATAGTTTCAGACCATAAATACTTAGCCCTATTTGGGTAAAATAAAAGTTTACAAGAAATGGCTGCTGGTAGGGTTTAACGTTAGTTATTATTTTTGTCAAATTTTAATTATACTTTCAAATATATTAAAAATTCTGAAAATTTAAGACATATTTACAACAGTTAAGATGAAAGATTGTGACTGTCTACATTTTGTTGAAAAATTAAATGTTTAAAAGACGTAATTTTAGGAAAGGAATATAATTTAATAAGGGATGGCTTTGAGGAAACCACCAATGATGAGATTTTAAAACCATTTTAGTCTCAAAGGAATGATTTATCATTGAATAAGGAAGTAACAATGTGGGGGTACAGAGTTGTGATACCGTTTAAACTTAACAAATTTTTTCAAGAACTGCTTCCTAATCATAAAAGTATGGCCAAAATGAAGACATTAGCTACATCCTATTTGTGATGGCCAACACTAGATGCTGGTATTGAAAGTCTAGTAAAAAAATGTGACATATGTGTTAAACAAAGACCAGGCCCACCGAACGGTTTCCTAAGTCTGTAGATGCAACTAAACTGTTGCAAAGGGTGCATGCTGATTTTCTGGGCCCATACTTTGGTAAAACTGTTTTAGTAATAATATATTCATTTTCTAAATGACCTGAAACTTACATAATAACTAAGATCAGATATCAAAGAAACAATTGAGAAATTTAGAGAATATATGGCAAGATTTGGACTTATTGAACTATTGGTTATTGATAATGATACACAATTTACTTCAAACGAATTTACTTAATTTTTATCCAAAAATGGTATACAGTCCATGACTTCTCCATTTTAAAACTTTAAAGCATGCAAGAGTATTCCATGAACAGTTTTTTGCAGGGAAGCCTATACGATTATTTTCGTAATTAAATTATCTCTCTTCTGATATCAATTTTTATTGGTTGACATATGGATGTAGTTACCTATATTGACTAACCTGTTCATACCTGCTTGTCAGATAGCCATAAACAGAATTAAGTAGACAAGCCTACCGAGGCATATTCTCCATGTTAAAATCTATCTGTTAAAATTAAATTTGTTCGGTTATCAGAAAAGTGAAGGTTATAAAAAAATTGATTACAATTTATTTATTTAAAAATAGCCATGAACACTTTTCAAATGACAAGTTTCCATAGGAGTGTTAATAAATGATTAAAATTTCATAAAAAATATGCCTTATCTGGTTATCAGATGGGTAAAGGTCGAACTTTCACGGTCTCTTAGACTATAACCAGATATATTTTGTATTGGCGCGAGCCGCATGTTTTTGGTAAAATCAAGCTATAGTTAAACCTGTGGTTAAACAACATTTATATTTATTTACTGTCTGCAGTATATTACAGCTTTTACGGGAGCTAGTTCTGTTCAAATACAATTTGAACACTCACGACATCAAACACCTCTACACATAAAAAACAGCGCCCATCTCTAGCAAATATTCATTAAAGGCACATACTTTGATTACTATACGAGGCAAGAGAGAGGTCCGACACGCCCAACATAGGGCGCGGCCATTTTGAACCCTGTGACACAGTTTACAGCTAAAGAATCAGATCGCTCACTCTGCGTCGGCACTTTTGATCTCAAAGTTTCAGTTTATACACTGTGCAACTCGGATAATACAATATATGACAACCGCCTATAATAAAACAGCAGTCTTCTGCGTATCCTGAATTTGTATCCCTGGAGTGGATGTTATTTTGAAACTTGCAACTTGTCCGAGTGAGCTAACTGATTCTTTAGCAATAAACTGTGACTTCAAAAATAATATTCACTGACACTGACAGCAGCAAGCCAAATATCAGGTGCGTTTTAATCATCTGCTTCTGCTTCCGGAATTGTCGGTTTAGTCGTTTTAACCTGTCAGATTAAAACAAGAAAACCGACAGTTCCGAAGCAGAAGCGGATGATTAAAACGCACCTATTAAAAATATTGCGCCAAGATGTAGGCAACACGTAATAAGGGTTCAAAATGGCGGAGTTTTCTATCTCCTTTTAAAAGGCACTCAGAAAGCTGCGCAGTGCGACCATTCTCCGTATAGTAAAAGAAAATCAAAGTATGTGATTAAAGGCAAAACGGATAGGCTATCCACAATGCATGTCAATCTTTACAGGAACAAAGAATAGACTAGTCACAATACACAACTAAGTAAAATGGGTTGCATACCGACCAGACCAATCAAATTCAAATAAAAGTCAGTTAGTAAATGGAGGGGGAATCATGTAACAAATATTTTTAGCGGTAAAAGAAAGATCAGATAGCCATCAGCACTCAAGCTGGTAACATCTCAAATTTGAAATCACTCTTTAACTTTTATGTACATTCACCTATATATGTCTTAACAAGTTTTTATTGTTAAAATAAACAAGTTGTGCTTATGTTTGAAAGTGTTTTACTACAGTCAAGCTGCAGCACCTGGTAAGCTGTCCATTTCACGGAAAAGAAGTATTCATAAGGTTAGCTCAAAATTCCAATAGCGAGGCCGACAAACTAAAGAGGCGATAAGGTAAAGTAAAATACCCCCTCATCGCCCCGACAAGTTCCTTAAGAGTACAAAGACTAGCCTGTGTTTGCGTCAACGGTGCAATAAGAACCAATGGAGGTAATTTTAAACCTCGCCCCTCAGCATGCAATTTAGGGGTACGCGATGGTTTTAAAACCACAGAATTCACTTGAATAGGAGTAATATGGTCCTAGAACCTGATATTCTGGAAGTATAGATAAATACCCAAGCATTAATCCAGGTGGAAATTCACACCATTGAGAAGAAAAAAAATGTATAGGAGAAGAACCGATAACTGGAATGATTCCTTTGAGCTAAGATAGCCTAAGATACTTCTGGGTGACTATAACAAGAAAATATCGAAAGCATGTATCTAACTGAGCGGGCTACGCATTGTAACAGAGAACCTTACTGAGCACTGCTGACTCAAATGAAATCTTAGTAAACCGGGACTAATAGAAAACAGAAAATGTAGACTAAACCACATTCTGACTGAATATGTATCACCCCAGAATCTAAGGGCACTATACTTGAAAGTATACTGAATAGAAGAGGGCGATCTGTCCAAATTGGAGCCACTCCAAATCCTACATTTCCTACATCGAGACCATTCCCTTACTGCCTTAGCGACAAAGGGGGGAACAATAGATCTTTCAGGTCACTGTGTATCAATACCCCATACATAATTACAGTTGCCAGTGTAGGTGCATTTTGTGTGTTGCCGTTAATGGGGAGATTTTAGGGGGTGTACAGTGACGTGCAATACCGACTGGTTATTTTCAAGGTAATACAATTGCCACTATGTACCCTTCTCTGATTACGGCTCTGATTGTTTTGATTTTAAAGTTTATAATACTCGGATATTTTGGGATTCATAACTGATACTACTAAAAATTACTTGTTATTTAATTTTGTACCTATATCCAATTAAAAATAATATTTATTTAGTTTGAAATGTCATATTTAAATTGAAATGTACAATAAAATACAATTTACCTTAGGTTGACTTGCCGGAAAACTGTACAATTTAACTTTTCCATAATCATCTCCAGTAACAATTAATTCAGAGTCATGACTACGATCACAACAATTAATATCAATTCCACTTATATATTCTGACCATATTCCAATTGTTGAAAACGTTACAGTGCAAGTGTGTGTTGCCCATTCAATATCTCGTAACAAAGGAATTTGGACTATTTGGCGACAGGTTTCAGAATTCCCTAAAAAAAAAAACCGTTACTAGCAATTTCATTAAAAAATATTTATTTAAATTGGCGAAAACTTTGTAGGTACTTACAGAATAATAATTCGAAATCAGATGAATTTGACCTTAACATTTGGCTATTCTCTGCCCAATCCAAATGAACTATGCCACTCGAATGACCCTATAAAATAAAAATAGTCATTACCAAAAGATTGATACAGTCTAAGAAGGATAATTGAGTAAATCGCACTATCAATTCATATAAGAAAAAAAAATGCTTTTAAACGATACTTTTTAATAGGAGATGAATATCTCCATTCCCCAGGAATTTAAAATCTATCTAAGTGATACTAATAAATATAGGACAAAATTAAACAATGTACCCATTTTGTGAAAAATTTAGCAAATCTGTCAAATTTTACATTCCAAATTATAACTTTTCCCAATAACGATTTTTTCAAGAAGATTTAAAATAGTTATTGTTAATTACCTGTCGGTGTAGCTACTGTTGTTATATTTTAGTGCCTTTTTACTTCGGTTGTTAGTTTATTGTTAATTCATTAATTTTTTTTAATTGTAGCTGTGTTGTTTATGAAAACAATATATTAGTTGATACCAGTTCCATCGAATTTGTGGAGTTATAGATTCATCCACAGCACAGGATTGCATTAAATGGAAATTTTATGGTTGAAGAATTAGGCAAGTAATTTTTTTAGAGATTGAATTTTAAAAAATATAGTATAAAAACCAATAAAAACTCCCAGGCCGGATATTTTGGTAAGTAATAGAGATATTTTAATTATGTAAAAGCCAGCTCATAGAGCGCTAAGAAAACTTCAGTTTTAATTATAAATTAATTTTAAATATGTCAATATGTAGATGAATATTTTTTGTTCGATAGGAGGATCTTTCTTATATAGCGCATCTTGTAAAAAATGCATTATTAAGCAGATTTTGTTCTATAAACTAATTCGATAAATCTAGCCGTTTTTGATATACAGAGTGGGTCACTTAAAACAGTTTCATCCTGCTTTTTTTGGCATTAATCATTGAATTTAAGAAAATGGTCGATTTTTATTTCAAACTGAACATATTTTTACAATACAGACATCTGACATGTGTCAAACATATGACTGTTTATTGCAATACTTTTAATTTTAGCGACCTCTATCGGGATAAAAAAATCTGTAACGTATTATAAAGTGCGACACTTCATTTGAAAGCTAATTTAATTACTAATTCAATGCACCATATATCATTAATATAAATATTTCCACATTGCACTTGCAACAAAATAAAGTTAGCAATAATATTGTTTAAAATAATGCATGACTAATTTTCAAACTATTGCAAGTCCACTATGGAGGATATTTATATTATTGTTATGTAGTGCATTGAATTAGTAATTAAATTTGCTTTCAAATAAGGTGTCACACTTTATAATACGTAGTTTTTTTTATCCCGATAGAGGGCAGTACAATTAAAAGTATCGTAATGAACAAGCATATTTATAAATTCCCCATAAAATTACCTTTTCAATGATGTATTGATGTACTACATATTGTAGTGTTACACTATAATACGTAATAGTTTTTTTTTTCCGCTAGAGGGCGATAAAATAAAAGTAACGCAATGTACAGAAATATTTCTGAATTCCCCATTAAATTACCTTTTCAATGATGTGCCATACATGGTATATTACCTATTAAAAATTAAGGTGTTGGTGAAGTGCAAGGGAGGGGGTTGACACATGACAGATGTCTGTATTGTAAAAATGTTTTTAATTTGGAATAAAAATAGACCTGTTTAAGCATTTTCTTAAAATCCAATGATTAATGATGAAAAATAGGATCAAACTGTTTTGAGTGACCCACTCTGTATATTAAAAATGGCTAGATTTATCGAATTATTTCATAGAAGAAAATCTGCTTAAAAATGCATTTTTTACAAGATGCGCTATATAAGAAAGATCCTCCCATCGAAAAAAAATTATTGAGCGCAGCGCCATCTATATATTGACCTATTTTAAATTAATTTGTATCTAAAACTAAAGCTCTCTTGGTGCTCTGTAAACTAGCTTTGGCAGAATTAAAGTATCTCTATTACTTACCAAAATATCCGCCCTGGGAGTTTTTATTGGTACATCCTGTACATGGGGTTAAAATGACTTTTATCCGATAAGTACAAATAAACTATTTGGCAAAATACGCCTAATAAATAACCGCTATCTTCGATTTTTTACAAAAATGTCACATATGGTTGAACATAGGATGATAATACAAGGGAGAAAGAAATCAAAGTTAGTGTAATTTGAAAAATAAAAGTTGAGTTTGTAATTTGGAGGTGATTTGCTAGGGTTCATAGGATAAAAGACATTTTATTACTTTCAAAAGTTTATCTGTTCAATTTATCAAGTGAGTGTAGGGTCAAAAATATGTGCACATCCGGTATATTTAAATGTATAAAAATACATAGAATTTACCACACAACGTCCTACTCTTGTATATTTCGTACCATCATCGGAAACTTGATAAATATAAATTAGACTATCTCTCGAACCAATTGCAAGTAATGATCCATCTGGAGAAAACCTAAAAAATCGTGCAAAAATATGTTAGTATTCAACTGTTAGGTATGTTATAGACTACTATTTTTATTGTTAAGATAAATTAATAATTTTTAAAATGTTTTTTTAAGCAACTATCACTTTAACGGACCAGTCCCCTGAGTGATAGAGTAGTCGTGAAGGTGACAGACTCAGACTAGTTCCAAAAATGACAGGTTAGTCCAGAAAGTGATAGCTATTTTCAAAAATATGTTTTTCTGTGACGGGAAAAAGTTTGACATTTTATCTCTCTTGTCCAGTATCAAAATGTCACTTTTTATAAAATTACTTTTTTCCCCGTTTCCCGGGAAAAAAGTGATTCCTGAAAAAAACGTGAGTATTTTTTTCCCTGATATACAAGGTGGACCGGATTTAATTTGCGTATACAGAGATCTCGTAAACCGTAAGATACATTGGGGTCTATTCTGTAACAATTCCTTTATATTTAACGGCTTTTAAAAATATTTTCTTCTTTACTTCTGTCATTATTTAAATGGATCTTTAAAATACATTTAAGAAATCTGTTTAAATAATGACAGAAGTAAATTAACGAATACGAAAATATTTTAGAGGCCGCCAATATTTTTAAAGGCCGTTAAATATAAAAGAATTATTACAGAATAGACCCCATTATCGGTTAAATGGGGAAAAAGTTCCATATCTTAACGGATAATACAATGGTTCATAGAAGTTCCAGATTTTCTGACTGGTTCCGGAGATATTCGATAAAATCCGAAAAACCTCATTTTAGTTTTTTAAGTCGTGCGTTATTATAAAAGATACAAAAAAAATTATACGAAGTTTTTATTATAAATCAAGTTCCCTATAATCTGCCATATCAAAATTTTTATTACGACGTTTCGTATTTCCAGGGCCACCTTCAACTTATTTTTTTAAATACGAAACTGGATTTCTAACTGTAATTTTTTATAGCTTTTGTATAGCTTAATACAACGATATGTTACACTTTACCATTTTACTACGTTTCGTCTATGAAAATATCATCAGCTATGTATCTTCTGATGATACCGTTTCTTACTTGATTAAAACAAGATAGCTAATTAAATAATAATTAAAAACAAAAAACTGCTTAAAATGTGAAATTTTAAATATTATTTGAAACATAATACAAGAATTATTTAATTACAAAATGGGTTACAATTTTTTATCAAACATGATTAAGTACAGCCAGCAAACAAGACTAATGAAGAACGAATTATGGTTGTACACATTCTACAAATAATAAAGCTAATAATAAAAACATAAAATGAAAAACAAAACGGTCAAGCAATCTATAAATTTCTATCACCTGATTTTCTGTAAAATCTTTCGCTTAGGTTTCTCACACCGTATTTTTCTATCTTTAATGTTTTTATTTTTGCATACATAATATCTTAATAAAATCATGTTTGCCATGCATGTCAGTTGTAACTTGTCACCAATATTTCTCTTATAATCTGTAACATCTAATACTACAGTACTTTTTTAGCTTTAAATAATTTAAAATTAAATAATTATGGTTCGTTCTACTGAAGAAGAGAAGAAAGATATGTATGATGTGTAAATAAGATGCTATAGGAATGAAACCCAGTCAGCTCAGACATATTTAGATTTATATCCTGATAGACATCAGCCATCTAAGAGAATGTTTTCTTATATTTCAAAAAATATGGTAGAACATAGCATTGTGAAAAAAAGGAGAACTAGATATCAGGTTCGACATACTGATAATGAAATTAATGTTCTTGCCCAAATACATATTAACCCTGAAAATTCTACTAGGCGAATAGCTAAAAAATGTGTAGTAGGAACCTCCACGGTTAAAAGAATTTTAAAGAAACATAAATGCCACGGGTATAAATTTCAAAAAGTCCAGAAATTATACGCTGGAGACTTTGATAGAAGACTGATGTTTTGTCGTTGGTATAGTAGAAAACTGCGCAATGACCGTTCTTTCAACAAAAAGATATTATGGACGGATGAATGCTCCTTTACTAATAGTGGAATATTTAATCCCAGGAACAAGCATTTGTATACTACTTCTAATCCCCATTTAATCAGAGAAGTTAGACCACAGTTCCGTTTTACCCAAAATTTGTGGTTTGGACTAATCAATAATCAGATTATTGAGCCGATTTTTTTGAGTAGTAATTTAAATCAGTTCCGATACCTACATTTATTGGAGGAAGTACAAACCAGACAAAATCTTCAATTCTTTATGCAAGACGGTTGTGGTGCACACAATGCTAGGAGGTTTTCAAAGTATCTCGATCAATATTTTAGAGGTAATTGGATTGGTACGAATGGCCAATAAGATGGCCGTGTCTTAACCCCATGGATTATTTTGTATGGGGCTTCGTAAAGAACCAAATCTACGACAAAAATATGCCAAATAATCTACAAGAACTTCGTCAACGAATACTAAATGCATTTGAAAAAATTACACCAGAAATGGTTGATAAAACTACATCCCAAATGTCTAGGAGAACTGCACTCAGTATCCAACAGAATGGACTACATTTTGAGCAACTATTGTAACTGTTTTTGTTTTTGAATTTTGTTTTTGTTATTAGCTTTATTATTTGTAGAATGTGTGCAACCATAATTCGTTCTTCATTAGTCTTGTTTGCTGGTTGTACTTAATCATGTTTGATAAAAAATTGTAACCCATTTTGTAATTAAATAATTTTTGTATTATGTTTCAAATAATATTTAAAATTTCACATTTTAAGCATTTTTTGTTTTTTAATTATTATTTAATTATCTATCTTGTTTTAATCAAGTAAGAAACGGTATCATCAGAAGCTACATAGCTGATGATATTTTTATAGACGAAACGTAGTAAAATGGTAAAGTGTAACATATGGGCGTATTTAGCTATAAAAAATTACAGTTAAAAATCCAAGTCCGTATTTAAAAAATAAGTTGAAGGTGGCCCTGCAAATACGAAACGTTGTAATAAAAATTTTGATATGGCAGATTATAGGGAACTTGATTTATAACAAAAACTTCGTATAATTTTTTTTTGTATCTTTTATAATAACAACGCACGACTTAAAAAACGAAAATGAGGTTTTTCGGATTTTATCAAATATCTCCAGAACCAGTCAGAAAATCTGGAACTTCTATGGACCATTGTATTATCCGTCAAAATACGAAACTTTTTCCCTATTTAACCGACAATGTATATCTTACGGTTTACGAGATCTCTGTATACGCAAATTAAATCCGGTCCACCTTGTATATACACATAAATAAAGGTAGATATTTTGGAATATTTTTTTCAATATCAAATCGTCGTTTTTCCCGTCACATAAAAAAATTGTGTATTATACACGGAAAATATATTAGATTTTAGCTCACGAGCTAAAATCTAATACTTTTTTCCCTTGTATAATAAATTAATTTCAAATATGGGCCGCCAGGGGAGCAAAAGGGCCACTCGTCTCCACGGTTCGTAGTCAATATGGTGGTCTTATACGGTTGCTAGGGATAAGGATGTGACGTCGAACGATAAAATCAAGGTGACAAAAATATTTTGCTGCGGTTCATATATTAGTTTTTTAAAAATCTTATATTTTACTAATATTTAGTGGTATTTATATTTTTATTTTTGGACTGTTTTCCAGTGTTATTGTTTTTATAATATCGGTAGTTCGATTTTTTAAAAGACAAGCTACAGGAAAAATCATGTAATGATTTCCAAAAAATTTCAAATGAATTACTTTTTCTTTGAATTATATAATGAAATATTGTGTGATTGGTTAATGTTAGCTATTTTGGGTTAAAGTACGGCCTCCGAGCCGAACTCGGACCATATTTTATTTTTACCCTGAACTAATTTGAAATTTTAACATGCAAATACTTGGATGTTAAGTATCACTTTGTTAAAGAAAAAATCAAGGAAGGTACCATACAATTAATTTATGTTTCAAGTAGTGAATAAATTGCAGATATACTGACTAAACCTTTAAATAAAGTAACATTTAAAAAATTGAGAAATTCTATGTTGCAGCATTAAGAGTTGGTTTTTTATTTTTGTGTTATGAAAAGTTTGATTGAGTGGGGCTGTTGTTGTAACAATCTATTTAATTTTAACAGTTGGTAACACTGTAAGTCTGACAGTTAGTCGTTTGTCGTTAGTATCTACCCGTTGATCGTTACAAGTTCGCTGTTCGTAATTATTGTAATTTTAAATAGTTAGTTAATCATTATAATCTTTTCTTTTTCAGTCAGCGTTTTATTACTACTACCAGCTTCCACCACACCAATTCTTGAAAAACTGGCTGTTAATCCATTTTCTACTAACTTTTTTACTAATAAGTTAGTTTCTAATTCTAATAAACAGTACATTCTTTACTGGTATCATTTTAACATTTTCTGATACTTAACAAGCTAATCTTCCTTCTCATACACCCAAACACGCCATTTTCTGGCCGTTTACAACAGTATTTTTTTTTTATAAACTAGTGAAGACATTTTTATTTTTTGTCATGTAGCTAGATGCTCCGAAATCAATATACCAATCTTTCGCGTTATTATTAGAGATTATACAGAAACAAAGATCTTTTTCTTCTAGTGCACATTTAGCAGTTTGCTTATTTTTATAGCTATTGTTATTTCCACAAATCTTATTTATCAGAAAATGACAATCTTTCTTTGGATGACCTTTCTTTTTACAATAAAAACATTTCACATTTGGAAATGGTTTCCTTGATTTAAATACTTTTTAGTGCAGTTTCCTTTTCTTGCTCAGAGCGCTTCTTCTATCATATTCGTCTAATAACTTTTCGTTAACATATTCTAAAGTTAATTCGTTATCTGGACGGACATCAAGTGCAGTAACTAAGGAATCATACGTATCAGGTAGACTGCTTAACAACAAAGCTGCGATATGAAAATCCGTTATTTCTTCTCCAATTCCTCTAAGTTGCTCTAGTAGTTCAAGAGCTTTGCGGATATATGCGTACATATGATGTCTAGGTT